TGCAGGAGCACCCAAATTCATAAAAAAAACTCCTGGAAGATATCAAAGGAGAGATCGACAACAATACAATCATAGTAGGGGACTTTAATACACCAGTGACATCACTGGATAAATCCTCTAGACAAAAAATCGGCAAAGAAACAGCAATCCTAAATGACTCACTAGATCAGATGGACTTCATAGAAATCTTCAGAACACTTCACCCCAAAGCCACAAAATATACATTCTTCTCAAGTGCTCATGGGACATATTCAAAAATAGACCACATATTGGGTCAAAACAAAGTCTCCCCAAATTCAAGAAGATTGAAATCATACCAAGCATCTTCTCAGACCACAAGGGCATAATATTAGAAATAAACTACAATAAAAACAACTCAAAATACTCAAACACTGGGAAGCTGAATAGCATGTTATTAAATATTGATTGGGTTACGAATGAGATCAAAGAAGAAATTAAAAACATCCTGGAAACTAATGACAATGAAAACAAAACAATCCAAAACCTATGGGACACAATGAAAGCATTCCTGAGAAGGAAGTTTATAGCTCTACAGGCCTATCTAATCAAACAAGAAAAAATGGTAGTAAATCATCTAAATCTGCATCTCAAAGAATTAGAAAGAGAGCAACAAGAAAAGCCCAGAGTGAGCAGAAGGAAGGAGATAATAAAGATTAGAGCAGAAATAAATGACATAGAGACCAAAAAAAAAAAAAAAAAAATACATAAAATCAATGAAACCAAGAGCTGGTTCTTTGAAAGGATAAGCAAGATTGATGAACCTCTAGCCAGGCTCACCAAGAAGCAGAGAGAGAGGACCCAAATAAACAAAATCAGAAATGATAGAGGTGAAATAACAACAGACCGCACAGAAATACAAATGATTGTTAAAAAATACTAGAGACAACTCAAACAAACTAGACAACCTGGAGGAAACGGACATATTCCTAGAAAAATACAACATTCCAAAACTCAATCAGGAAGAATCTAAAAATCTCAACAGGCCAATAACTATGGAAGAAATTGAAGCAGTCATCGAAAGCTTCCAGCAAACAAAAGCTCAGGACCAGATGGCTTCACAGGGAAGTTTTACCAAACATTCAAGGAAGAACTAAAACCTATCCTCCTCAGACTACTACAAAAAATCCAAGAGGAAGGAACACTTCCAAGCTCATTCTATGAAGCCAGCATCACCCTAATACCAAAACCAGGTAAAGACAACACAATGAAAGAGAATTACAGACCAATATCCCTCATGAACATAGATGCCAAAATCCTCAACAAAATCTTAGCAAATCGGATCTAGCAGTACATCAGAAAGATCATACACCACGACCAAGTAGGATTTATCCCAGGGATGCAAGGATGGTACAATATCCGCAAATGAATAAACGTGATACATCACATAAACAAATTGAAAGAAAAAAACCACATAGTCATATCAATTGATACAGAACATATTTGCCAATGTTATCACTGATAAGGGTTTAATCTCCAACATTTATAGGGAACTCATACAACTCAACAAAAGGAAGATAAACAATCCAATAAAAAAAATGGGCAAAGGACCTAAATAAACACCTTTCAAAAGAGGACATTCAGGCCGAAACCGGTTTGGCTCAGTGGATAGAGCGTCGGCCTGTGGACTGAAAGGTCCCAGGTTCGATTCCGGTCAAGGGCATGTACCTGGGTTGCAGGCACTTTCCCAGTGGGGGATGTGCAGGAGGCGGCTGATCGATGTTTCCCTCTCATCGATGTTTCTGACTCTCTATCTCTCTCCCTTCCTCTCTGTAAAAAATCAATAAAATATATTAAAAAAAAAAAAAAAAGAGGACATTCAGAAAGCCAACAGACATACGAAAACATGCTGAAAGTCACTAATCATCCGAGAGGTGCAAATCAAAACAACAATGAGGTACCATCTCACACCTGTCAGAATGGCCATCATCAACAAATCAACATACGACAAGTGCTGGAGAGGATGTGGAGAAAAAGGAACACTCGTGCACTGCTGGTGGGAATGCAGACTGGTGCAGCCACTATGGAAGACAGTATGGAGTTTCCTCAAAAAACTAAAAATGGAACTCCCATTTGACTCCGTGATCCCACTACTAGGAATATATCCCAAGAAACCAGAAACACCAATCAGAAAGGATATATGCACCCCAATGTTCATAGCAGCACAATTCACCATAGCTAAGATCTGGAAACAGCTTAAGTGCCCATCAGCAGATGAATGGATTAGAAAACTGTGGTACATCTACACGATGGAATACTATGCTGCTGTAAAAAAGAAGGAACTCTTACCATTTGCAACAGCATGGAAGGAACTGGAGAGCATTATACTATGTGAAATAAGCCAGTAAATGAAGGAAAAATACCACATGATCTCACTCATTTATCGATAATAAAAGACCATTATAAACTTATCAACAAAAATAGATACAGAGGCAGAGCTACCTCGAACAGAATGTCAAACTACAGCAGGAAGGTCAGGGAGGGTTGGGTGACAGGAGGGTGGTAAGAGATCAACCGAAGGACTTGTATGCATGCATATAAGCATAACCAATGGACATAAGACACTGGGGGGTAGGGGAGGCCAGGGGATTGTCAAGGGCGGCGGGAGAAAAGGAGACATATGTAATACTCTTTGTAACACTTTTTAGAAATAAAACAATAAAAAAAAATCATACAAGAAAATAGCCAAAAAAAAAAAAAGAAAAGAAAAGAAATTTAACCAGTGCGGGTATCACAGAAGAAATCCAAATATTTAATGGGAATGGAAGTCTGGGACCCAAACAGGCAGCTACAGATATGCCTGGTTTCAGTTGCACAAAATGTTTTAACGAGTTGCCAATTTTTAAAAATTGTATTAGTTGCCAGGCTTTAAAAAATCAAGAGCCTGACCATATGTGCACACTTTGTTTCGCTTCTCCAACAACACCTACACTAGTATTGTGCTCTTAAAACTCAAAACTCAGCAAAAATAAAAGTTTGCCTCTGTTTATGACATAGACACTTTCTTACACCTCCATTTACCTTACCTGACTACGCATTCAAGTTCGCAACCCTTGGACCAAACCGAGGAATCGAGAACCTGAGCTCAGAAAAGCCCAATTTGCAGTCCTCGCTTCAAAATAACGTTATCTTCACTAAGAAGGTTCAGCCAGGGGAGGGACGCGCCTGCCAGTCCCACCGCATCTCCGGGCGAAGCCGGGACCCGCAGCCCGGCATCCCTGCTCCCGATTCCCCACACCTGGATTCGGAGCACTGCTGTCAGGGGCTCAAGGGACTGACCTGGGAAATTAGGACCTTAATGGTCAGAAGACCCGGGCTGCCAGAGGCTGAGGGGAAGTACGTGGAGGACTGCGAGGACGAGAGTCAGTTACCCGGTGGGGAAACAGCATGGCTCACTTACCGCTGCTCAACTTCCGCAACCCGGCAGTGTCGTCCATAGAGCGCCCCACTATGACGCACCGTGACCCCGCACCCCCCCTCTCCCCCTCCTGCTGGCGGTTTGTGGTGTCACAAAAGGAGCCGCCAAATGATGCAAATCATAAAAGAAAACCCAAAACGAGATATGGTCAGCACTGTCCTAGAACAACCACAAATGAGACCACAGGCAAAAGACCTACGTGAGTGACATCAGCAAGATGGCAGAATCAGAGATAGAGAACCTTTCCTCATTCCATAGTAAGTAGACAGCTATCCATGAAAAAAAATCCTACAGGCAATGGGAATAAGAGTACCATGAAGACAAACAGTAATACAGAATACCAAATAAGGACAACTGCATAGAAAGGATGACAAGAAACTGGGTGAGGAAACACATTTGAAGACACTTAAGGTCAAAAACAGGGTTAATAACTAACGAAGGGAAAGATAGTCTGCAATGAATGGTGCTGATATAAATGGACATTCACATGTAAAAACAACAAAATTGGACAGCACTGATAAAATCTAAGCCAACCTGTATGACACAATTAAATGTGAGCGCTAAAACTTAAAACTCCTCAGGACAACCTAGAGAAAAAGTTTTGGAGGTTTGTTTTAGACAGAATTTTCTGAATGTGACACCAACCAACACACAAAGTAGAAAACGAACAGTCCAGATGGCAACAAATAAAGAAAAATAGCGTCTTCACTGCACAACAGCAATAAACAAAATGAAATGAAAGGCAATCTAGAGAATAGAAGAAAATACTTGCAAACCATATGTAGGAATCTCTTGGAGATATTCTGGATTCAGCTCTGATCAGCACAATAAAGCGAATATTGCAATATAGACAGACATTCACACAAATAGTTGGAGTTCCCTGGGAATAATGAAGGTATATTAATACTATAGTGCAGTCTAATAACAATGCAGTGACTCTGTCTCAAAAGCAAAGTCTATATAACTTCATTAACAATATTTAACTGCTAAGCACTAGTAACGAGCACCTGAGCTTGCTAGAAACATGGGGGCACTAGACCTGCTGAATGCAGGGTTGCCAAAAACATGGACTTTGTAGAAAAGCTGGTGTGGGGGAGTAATATCTGCAAAGCACAATTAAGCACATGCAAAAATATGTGTTCCTGTATGTTGTAAGCAATTAATATATAAAATATACAAGGTATTCAAAAGACCCTAATGAAAAATACAGTTAATAAACAGGATAAGGTTGTGCAGACAGTTTTTCAAAAATATATACACATTACCAACAGGGATATACAAAATGCTTTCTTCACTAACCAAGGTGGAATCCTTTAAGCTTCCTGCAACACTACCAACCCAAAGTCCTTCCCTGTGAATTTAGGGGAGCGGGGAGTATTGGGACTTCAGGAATAGAAGGGAGCAGCAGAAACAGACCAAATAACCCCATGACAGCAACTACCCAGATAACTGGAAAATCAATCAGTATCACAGTCTACATTGTAGGACAGAGCACACCCTGGGGGATGGGGCCTGGGAAGGCGCAAAGCCAAGCCTACGTCACTGGTAACAGTGATGGTCTTACCCAGCGAGGATATAAGTTCAAAGTTCTCCAGCATCACATTCAGGTACAGCTGTCTCTGACCCTCACCAAGGAGGCTCCATTCCTCCCTGGAGAAGTACAGGGCAATGTCCTCAAAGGTCACGCCAACCTGTCAGAATTGAGACAATTGTAACCAGACCTGTCTTTCTGAGAATCAATAATGCTACCCCTTACACACCTTCCCCCCCTCAACCTCCTCCAGGGCACCCGGTTAGTGTGGACTCCAGGCCCTAATGCCAGTGCAGGCTGCTCTCTCATCACAGTCCCATTACTCACTGTGATTGCCCTCAGCAGAACGGCTGGGTTGGTGGGAAGGATTGGGGGAGGGGAGGGGAGAGGGCAATGCCATTTAAGGTCTGGGCGATGCCTGCGGGGCCCCAGCCTTCCTGCCAAGCAACACCACTGCAGTCTCCTAGATCCTGCCTCCAAGACAAAGCCAAGGGTGGGTTTATGCTTCGCCTTTAAGTCCCCACACCAGGTCCCGGGACCATCAGCTCACACTTCCTCCAGATGTGCTCACCACTGGGTAATGTTTATCCCCTTCCCATGTTCAGACCCCAGGTTCACGCCCTCATCCCTGCCCCCTTCCTGCTCCAATGCCACTGGATCTCGCTGGACTCACCCATGAACTTGGCATATGGCGTGTAGAGAGCTTGGAGTCCAGCCGGATCCACGACCACCCCAGGCCCCTGACGGACCCCACAGTCGTAAAAGCCCCGAATGAGTCTGTGACGTCCTCCCTGCAGCCTCTGCTCTTTTCGTCAATACTCACAGCCCATATTCTCAGGGACCTTCAGATGCAAGTCACCCCTGTCCTCTCTGCCCTGCACTTGCTGTGTCCTCAGAAGCCACAACACTCCTCTCTCCCCTTCACCTTCCTCACGGTCCTCCACGCGGGACTGAGCTGCAGGACGGGACAGGCGCCCTCCCCAGGCTGTGGTGTGTGTGTGAGGAGGCGGTGAGGGCCTGGGGGCTCGAACTCACCTTAGCTGGTCTCTTCAGCGGGGGCGCCGCCATTGCACTCTGTGGGCTGAGCGGGGCGGGAGCAGAAGCCGCTGCAGGAATGGCAGTCCCTGGCCCGGCCCTGGCGTGGGTCCGGGCGGTGACTCCGAGTTTCAATCCTAAGTGTGAGCTGTGACACCACTGGAGGCTCCGACCATTGGCTGTGAGGCGGGAACACCACCCTCCGGCCTTCTCCACGGGACTCTGAGCCCAAGAACTCCCGACAGCCTGAGACCAGAACTTGAATGGACAACACCCGTAACCAGGAATACCGGTCCCGCCCTACATGAGCGAACAATGGGAAATGCCTTCTGAGCCCCCATTGGCTCAACCTAGTGGCATTCCACGCTTGGCCTTATGGGTAATGTAGTTTCTTGGTGCCAAGGCGAGGATGCCGTATTTCTCAGTTGACTAAAGGACTGGATTTAGGGGCAAATAGCTCAAGAACACACCAAGTACACTAAGGGTCCTCTAGTGCCTTCAGTGGAGGTGACGTCAGGGGCAAGTTTGTTTCTCCAGCACCTGCGGGGCTGGTTTTGCATATCTTTCTTCAGGACCTGCTCTTTCTGAATGGCAGGCAATGTTTCTTCATTCAGGACTTTTGGCATGTGTCTCCTTCAGGCCAAATGTAGCTGGGGGAGGTTGCTCAAGTCTCAGACTAGACCTGACCTGCCTCCATTGAATTCATTATACAAAGATCATGTCACAAAACAGACACTCATACTTAAGAGCATCTGCTTCTGATGCCATCCAAAGTGTCAGCTCTGCCTGGGCTGCAGTGTGGATAAGATGGCCAAGAGACATGTGAAAAGTGCTCAAAAGACTGATCATCAGAGAGATGCGAATTAAAGCAACCATTAGAGACCACCTCCCAACTGTCAAAATAGCTGTCATCAACAAATCAACCAAGGACAAGTGCTGGGGAGGATGTAGAAAAAGGGAACCCTAGTACACCCCTGGTGGGAATGCAAACTGGTACAGCCATTATGGAATCAGTTTGGAGTTTTTGCTAACAATTAAATATGGAACTGCCATTTAATTCAGTGATTCTACTCCTAGGAATGTACCCTAAGAATCTTGAAACAGATAGGATATATGCACCCTTATGTTCATAGCAGCACAATTTACAATAGCAAAGATCTGGAAACTACCCAAGTATCCACCAGTAGAATAGCGGATAAAAAACTGTGGTACATTTACACCATGGAATAGCATCCAGAAGTAAAAATAAAGAATCTCTTACCCTTTCACACAGCATGGAGGAACCTTGAAAGCATCACGCTAAGTGAAATAAGTCAGTCAGAGAAAGAGTATCACTTGATCTCACTCATATTTGGAATCTAATTCACAAAAAAATGATGAATGGAGTGGATTCAGAGACATGGAAGCATGGAATAACAGCAGAATCTTAGAGGGAAAGTGGGGAAAGGTAAAAAGAAATGTCCCTCAGATAAAGATTAAACACACACACACACACTAAAAACAAAGTCACCTTAGCCTTGAGCATTTTCTTCTGTTCTATGAGAGCAAGGGGAAAGCTGTAGCTTTCTGGGTCCTGGGTCTGCTCTACATTTGTGTTTATAAATCTGTCTTCCGTCAGTTGAGTCCCTGGAAATGCTGATACCCCTCCATGTAACCTTCTCCTGCTTCGCATGAATCAATTGCTTTTGGTGATGATGTAAGAAATGTCCAAACATGTGGAGAATTTTTCTAAGTAATTTGACCCTAGTCAGTAACATTTGCCAGGAAGGAAAATAACAACACATTGAGTACTACGCGGGAGAACAACAGTTTTGCACCTTTTTTATACATTAGACTCAAAGGAGAAGCCATAAGGGGGTTACATGAAATTCACTGGCGGTGAATTAGAGTGGGGGGACCGAGGAGGGAAATCCCTGAAATTAAATAACATAAAAAAATAGACAAAGAATTCTTTTAAAAATGTTTTCCAATAGTTAACACTTAATATTTGACACAACAACAATAATTTCGGACCTGAGTTCTTTTGTGTTTGGAGATTGTGCCCTTAGGAGTCTGTAAAAAGGGAAATTTCCTTGAATATCCAAAGGTATGTATGCTAGATGCAAAAAGACAATAGACATGCTCAATAAGCGCAAGATTGACCTTTGCAAAGAAACAAAACAAAAAAAAGGAGGCTATGCCCTAACCGGTTTGGCTCAGTGGATAGAGCAACGGCCTGCGGACTGAAGGGTCCCAGGTTCAATTCTAGTCAAGGGCATGTACCTTGGTTGTGGGCACATCCCCAGTAGGGGGTGTGCAGGAGGCAGCTGATCGATGTTTCTCTCTCATCGATGTTTCTAACTCTCTATTCCTCTCCCTTCCTCTCTGTAAAATATCAATAATTTTTTTTTTCTTTTTAAAAGGAGGCTAGGGTATAACTAGCCCTGTGACTTGCTTTTATTTAAAAAGTTTTAACTTGCCCTGACTGGTATGGCTCAGTGGATAGAGCGTCGGCCTGTGGACTGAAAGGTCCTGGGTTTGATTCCGGTCAAGGGCATGTACCTTGGTTGCGGGCACATCCCCAGTGGTGGGTGTGCAGGAGGCAGCCAATCGATGTTTCTCTCTCATCGATGTTTCTAGCTCTCTATTCTTCTCCCTTCCTTTCTGTAAAAGATCAATAAAATATATATATAAAAAAAAAAGTTCTAACTTTAAACCATCCTGGGTGGTTACTTTTGGCCTGAGTTTGTATGATTCACTATGTGATACCAGGCTACCTGAGCTTGCCATGTTTACTATGTACCATCTTTTTTGTCCATACTGTGGTGTTAAAACTTACGGGGTCAGGAGAAAAATCACAGAGTGGTGTATTTCCATTGGGGCCCATTGCTAACATCCTCCTGAACACAATGCCCCCAGTACTGCGGGTGCCCCTTTATTTGGTCTCCTAGAAGTATTCACTCTTCAGGTCAATAAAGCCATAGGTTCTAAAAGTGCTTGTACTCAAAAGGACTCTGTTCCAACCCAATGACCCAGGGTGTAGACACAGGAGGCTGGGAAGGACAGAGGTCCAGAACATGATCCGGGCTCCAGGGAAAGCATGGTGAGAGCCATTGTCTCATTCAGCCAGTACGGATATACAGGAGAGAATCACACGGCAGTGGGTCCTATGCATGAATAAGAGGTGAGCACCCGTCCAATGAAACCAAGATCATGTAGGACTCCAGCATCACTTCCGAATATTAGGTCACAAAATTCGTATCAAAGTGTATCCTCCCCTGAAGGGTGTCAAACTGAAGGGTCAGAAGCATGAAATTCACCCCAGTAAATAGAATGGCAGCATGACACCCAACATGTGGGCACAAGTGCAGAGACCCAGCCCTAAGTACCGAGGTCTCCTAAGGGTCATAGTCTGTGCTGCGATCAAAGGGGAGGCAGACAAACAGCAGCTCACTCTGAAAGGTTCCTCTGGAGAAACCACTGCAGCTGAGAAATGATGGCGTTCCCCTGAACATGGGGAGGCCAAGGGCAAGTGCTCTGAGGTGTAAAGGGAATGGGAGGAAACCTATTAACTGCAGCTATGGAAACAGGAGCTGCAGCTGTGCCACCCTGGTCGTCAGAATGTACCTGCTCCAGTGAGGGCTGCACATCTGAGGTACAGACTGTGTCTGACGCTGAGAAAATAATAGTTAAAATCCAGCTCCTTGAATCTGACACTTGTCTGTGGTGTAAACTTGGAGACCTTACTTCATTTTTCTGTCAATGAACTTTTTCAGCAATTTGATATGGGCCACACCACAATGAGATCTGAATGCCCACAGCACCTGCCTCAATGCAGCAGAGTCAGAGGCTTCTTATAGGTCCCATTTCTCACTTAAATGCACCCAAAGACAAAGGTGCTTGCGGGCATCGGGGGAGTGAGAAGTGCCTGCCTGGGAAGGTCTCTGTAGGGAGTGGCTGGAGTTGCTGGAGCCAAGGCAGGCTGCAGGCACTACTGCGTTACACAAGTGGACACCTTACCACTGGACCTTCTCCAATAGCTCTGGCATGGACATACCTCATACCTGTTTTTCACAGGAGGAAACTGACTTCGACCAGCAGAAGGGTTATTTCTTTTTTTAAAAAAAAAAAAATATATTCTATTGTTTTTTTTACAGTGAGGGAGAGGGATAGAGAGTTAGAAACATCAATGAGAAACATCGATCAGCTGCCTCCTGCACATCTCCCACTGGGGATATGTCCACAACTAAGGTACATGCCCTTGACCGGACTCGAACCCGGGACCTTTCAGTCCGCAGACCAATGCTCCATCCACTGAGCCAAACCAGTAAGGGCAGAAGGGGTTATTTCACTGTAAGTCCCAGTGATAACAGAGAATCTGAAATTCAAATGGAGGATGCCTGATCCAGGGCATAGGGAATCTGATCACTACCCATCTATTTCCCGCTGCCTTGTCTTTGGGACTCTAAAGCCTCCCTGCCCACCCAGATGCCCTCTGGCCTTTCTGAGAGAACAGTTCCAACCCAGGAACCCCCATGATAGGAGACAAGGAAAATGCAGAAGACGACACAGCAAGGGCTTAGTGCAGGGTCAGACGACTGGTGTTCTGAAAGCAATGGAGAATGTTTTAGTGCAGGTTAAAATTAAAAATGTTCATGGCACAGGGCATAGCATTTAAAAAGTAATGAATCACCCAGCTGGTATGGGTCAGTGCTTGAGCTTCCACCCGTGACAAAGGGTCCTTGGTTATATTCCCAGTCAGAGCACATGCCTGGATTGCAGGCTCCATCCCCAGTAGTGTGTGGAGGAAGCAGCGATCAATGATTACCTGTCATCATTGATGTTTCTTTTCTTTTTTAAGATAAGGGACTCAATTTTCTTTAATTTTTTATTGATTTCACAGAGGAAGGGAAAGGGACAGAAAGATAGAAACATCAATGATGAGAGAGAATCAGTGATAAGCTGCCTCCTGCAAGCCCCACCTGGGGATCTAGTAGGCCCACGCATTTGGCCCGAATGGCAATGGAACTGTGATCTCCTGTTTCATAACTCAACTGAGCCCCCTCGCCCGCCTATCATTGTTTCTCTCTCTCCATCGCACTTGGTCTACAATATCAATAAAACTATTTAAAAAATCAATTAAATATATATATTAATTTAGTAAAATAAATTAAAATATTTGAAAATACGTTATTAATGATTTCGGAGAGTAAGGGAGAGGTAGAGAGAGAGAGAGAAACATCAATGATGAGAGAGAATGATTGATTGGCTGCCTCCTGCAGTCCCCACACTGAAGATTGAGCCCGCAATCTGGGTACCTACCCTTGAATAGAAGCTCACCCTGGACTGAGGTAAACCAGCTAGGGCAATTAAAATATTTTTTTTTTAAATATATTTTATTGATTTTTTACAGAGAGGAAGCGAGAGAGATAGAGAGTTAGAAACATCGATGAGAGAGAAACATCGATCAGCTGCCTCCTGCACACCCCCCACTGGGGATGTGCCTGCAACCCAGGTACATGCCCTTGACCGGAATCGAACCCGGGACCTTTCAGTCCGCAGGCCGACGCTCTATCCACTGAGCCAAACCGGTTTCGGCTAAAATATTTTTTTTTAAGGAAAAAATATTAAAACATATCATTTCAATACAAAAAATGTTTATTTTTAAAATAAAAATGCACAAAATGAGTGAAATGCCAACATCCATCTTTGTTGTTCCACAATCCTATTGTTAAAGAAAATTGCCAAAACTCAGCACATTAGGCAGAATATATGATAAAGATGTTTTAACAAAGATACAGACTCAACAAACACACTTCTGAGAAAAGGCTGACCGTAAATTCCTAGAAAAAATACAATCAAATAGTGAAGGAGCACAACAAACGACTCCAAAAAATAGATTTTCCACTTTCACTACATTTAAAAGGTTTTTCTCCTGTATAAACTCTCTGATGATGATGGTCGGTCTTAGCGGTAAAGGATTTCCCACATTTGCTGCATTTAAAAGAAACTATACAGTTACAGACATGGTCAGTATTATGCCTATAAGGATGGTTTCAGTTTCATGCACCTGTCAAGATTTATGAAACACTGTACTTAACACATGTAATTTACTCATTACAGCTGTCAAAAAATGGTTCCAGATAAAAGAAATGTACGTTCACCTATTTTTGAAAAACAGCTTGGTCAATTATAAATTCAATCCCCATCCTTATGCCCTCTGGGCGAGAGTCTCATATCAATGACAGAGACTGTGACAAACAACGAAGAACTTTCACCCAAACCCACAAAAGCCACATCCCTGTACAAAAGACCACCTTTGTCTCCATCTTCGTTTTGCTGCCAGTGGCTCTGATGGGAACATCTGAGAAGCTACAGGAGCCACAAAACATCTTGATTATAATCAATGACAATGACTGCTCCACAGAACAGAAACATGCCTGGAGTCCCTCGGATCGGTGTACACACAGATCTTGTAGTCTTTTCCTCAAAATAATTCCTGTATACACAGTTAGATGAGGACCATTTCATCTAATAGGCTGCACTCTGGTCCAACAATGCCAGTGTTTTTAATCCACCTAGCAGAAGGGTTCAGGAATCTGGAGAAGAAGCTGTGTGTAAATTCTGAAAGATTCCAAGAGACAAAACATAATTTTGGAAGGCATTTGGGGGCCAGAGGAGCTTGGCTAAAGAAAACAAGTTCTCTCTTGTCTCAGGACCCTTGCTTTTTATTAACACAAACTGTCCTAAGGCAAAGTAAAGATATACATCAAAGGCCAGGGTTTCATATACAGAATCCATTGTCAGATTGGAGGAATTGCCCTCAACTGTTCAGGTGTTTGGCCAGTAGGAGGCAATAACATGTACACTGAAATGGCCTCAGCTGTCTGGCAGCAAGTAATCATTTTATGCATCCTTTTCAGGTTTGGGAAAATGCCTTCAGCTATTTCCAGATCAGCCTTGCTGACATGCTGGAATTGGCTTCCAACACAACAACAATTAGGTCAGTGTTTCTAGAGTGAAAGGATTTCCCATTACTGTTCTGGTCTTCAAATCAGTGACCATCAACCGTGAAATTGTAGGCATTAGGGGACATGGCCCTCTGAAAAACCTTGGCAAGAGATTCCCTTCACATGCATTGGCATCCCTTGCAAACAAGAAATAAAATTCATGCTCCCAGACATACTTGAGGTTGTCACAGCTACCCCATCTTTGGAGTGACTGCTATGTCTCCAAGCATCCAGACATCACATGAGGATTAGAGAGTCCAGAGTATTTCCTAGGAAAATATGGGCAGTAGTGTAAATTTGCCAAAAACTCCTGAGCTAATCCTGCACCATACTGTTCCCCCAAGGGCAAAAATGTTTGAGACCCCATAAAAGTTGTTCACCTCATCATGCTTGGAGTGCCCGACCTACTTAAAGCTAACCCACACATTAAATAGAACAGCTAAGATTAAAGAAGTCTTGGGAAAAAGCCTTCATTATCGTACAAACTAAAGAGACATGAGACTGGCAGTTCTTCCACTGATGACTCAGGCACTCAATAAATTCATCACTGGCATGCAGGGAAAGCATTCCCTCTGCAACATTATGTTTACTGGGGCCAACAGTAATGAGTCCTATGTGGCAACCCATGATCAGGAAACAAGAAAGAACTTTGGGCTCAGGTATTCCTCATTTTCTTCAACAAAAAAGACAACAGAGTTAGCTTCCCCGGGCATATGAGGATGGTGATTGATGCCATTTGTAGGGACCTTATAGGTGGTTGAGGTGAAATACCTTCTACAACAGAAATATGCAGTGACATAGATCTGGCAGGCTATCTCTGTATGTTAGAACGTGCAACATAATTACACAGTGTTCAACATACAAACACAACAAGAACACTTATGGGAACTTTACATAATGTAGGTGATTAAACGTATGAGATACAATTCAGAAAAGTGAGGATACACAAATTTTCTTGTACTAATGTTAAGTTCTAACTAAGAAACTACATTTCCTACACATCTAAGAAATTTCCCACATTTGGACTCATACGTGCAGAGCAAATTTAGAAATTTGGCTGAGAGACACCTCATATTAATTGCACTCATGTTTTTCCCCAGTGTACTCTCTGATGATATTGAAGACCACTGCTCCTTGTAAAAGATTTCCCACATTCACTGCATTTATAAGGCTTTTCTCCTGTATGAACTCTCTGATGATGATGAAGGACGGTCTTAGTGGTAAAAGATTTTTGACATTCACTGCATTGGTAAGGCTTTTCTCCAGTGTGAACTCTCTGATGATACTGAAGACCACTGCTCCTTGTAAAAGATTTCCCACATTCACTGCATTTATAAGGCTTTTCTCCTGTATGAAGTCTCTGATGATAATGAAGGGCACTGCTCTGGGTAAAAGATTTCCCACATTCACTGCATTTAAAAGGCTTTTCTCCAGTGTGGACACGCTGATGATATTGGAGAGCACTGCTACGTGGAAAAGATTTTCCACATTCACTGCATTTATGAGGCTTTTCTCCTGTATGAAGTCTATGATGATAGTAAAGAGCAGAGCTCTGGGGAAAAGATTTCCCACATTCAGTGCATTTATAAGGCTTTTCTCCAGTATGAACTCTCTGATGAAAACGAAGGTGAGTGCTCTGGGTAAAAGATTTCCCACATTCATTGCATTTATAAGGCTTTTCTCCAGTGTGAATTCTCTGATGACAATGAAGGGCAACGCTAGTGGTAAAAGATTTTCTACATTCACTGCATTGATAAGGCTTTTCTCCAGTGTGAACTCTCTGATGATAATGAAGGGCGTTGCTCAGTGCAAAAGATTTTCCACATTCACTGCATTTATAAGGCTTTTCTCCTGTATGAACTCTCTGATGATCACGAAGGGCATTGCTCCGTGCAAAAGATTTTCCACATTCACTGCATTTATAAGGCTTTTCTCCAGTGTGAACTCTCTGATGATATTGAAGACCACTGCTACTTTTAAAGGATTTTCCACATTCAATGCATTTATAAGGCTTTTCTCCTGTATGAACTGTCAGATGATAACGAAGGGTAGTGCTCTGGGTAAAAGATTTCCCACATTCACTGCATTTATAAGGCTTATCTCCTGTATGAAATCTCTGATGACGACGAAGTCCAGTGCTACTGGTGTAAGCTTTCCCACACTCACTGCATTCATAAGGTGTTTCTCTCATGTGACCTCTTTGTTGATCATGAAAGCTAGATAATTTGGTAAAATATTTTCCACATTCAGAGGACACAAAACACCCACTTCCAAGATGGACACCATTTTCCTGAATAAACGTGTGGGTGCAACTAATGTCTCTCTGACATTCTTTTCTACTGTAATAATTTTTTCTCATTGGAAATGTCACCCCACACGTGGAAATTACACTTGGACTGTTCCTGGCCTGAATAGCCTTTAGGTGGAAATGTCCTGACCCCCCATGGACACCCTGCCCAACCTCCTTGCAGGTGAAACGATTCTGGGACACATTGAAATTGCAACTGTTTGCAAGTGAGATCCTGTCCACACCTCTAGTGAAAGACTTCTCTCTCACATGCTGCTGGTGAAATTTTGCACGGAAATAAAATCGTTTTGCACATGCCCCACACCTCAACAGTATCTGTGGGTGTTGTGTTCCCTGCTGCTCCATCATGTGGAAAATGTTTCCCAAGACTAGCCCACAACTCTCACAGGGGTGGCTCTCCTGGGAAGACAAGGCTACCTTGGGATTCCTTGCCTGTGACACTCCTACAGAAACCTTCTGCTCAGTCGTTTCCTCCAAGTTCTCTGCTCCACAGCAGCAACCTGAAGAAAAGAAATGTAGATGAAGTGCATGTTGACCTAAAAATACAGAATATCTTCACCACAACTGTTTATGTCACAACTGGACATGATTTAATACAATGATTTTCAAGACAAGTCAGTGAGACTCTCAGGAAATGGCTGTTATATAGATAACATGGCCCAAAAGGTCACTGGATGAGGAAAATCTCACCAATGGAGGACAGAATCATTGGCTGGCAAGAAAAGGAGAGAGGCAGGGTTTGCTCGTTATTACTCCACAAATGGCTTCCTTTAGGACCTTTCATGCTGGCAATATGAGTCTGTGTAAAATAATTTCAATGTGCTCAAACCCATAAAATGTCAATCATAGTAAAGCACGGGATGTTCAGCATCAATATAATACGGGTGCGCTCTAAGGATCTGCAAGCATGCAACAACACTGGAGTGCAGTAAAGCCGATATGTGTGATAGAGGTAGAGGTGCAAAGTTGAAAGAGGTTAAGGATATCCATGGGCTGGGAATCCAAGTAGAATAATCACTATCAAAACTGAAAAGTGTCAACATTAAGCAAGAAGAGGTAGAACTGGGTGAGGAGTGGGCAATAGTAACAAAACATTGTTGATCAAAATGGCTTCCTAGTTATGAACGTAACAGAACCCAGGCATGAAAACTGCCCCCACAGCTCTTCACCAAGGCAGGACTGCCTCTGAGTCTACCCTAGCCGTGGGCAAACTACGGCCCGCGGGCCCGATCCGGTCCGTTTGAAATGAATAAAACTAAAAAAAAAAAAAAAGACCGTACCCTTTTATGTAACGATGTTTACTTTGAATTTATATTAGTTCACACAAACACTCCATCCATGCTTTTGTTCCGGCCCTCTGGTCCAGTTTAAGAACCCATTGTAGCCCTTGAGTCAAAAAGTTTGCCCACCCCTGGTCCACCCTGTCATTGATAAAGTCATGTTTCTCCTGTGATGCACAAAAGATTTTGCCTCTTAAACCCAAGTTGAACCATAGCATGAGATAAATGATGCAAATCTTAAAAGAAAAACTAAAACGAGGTATGGTCAGCACTGTCCTAGAATACAAACCACAAATGGGATCACAGGCAAAAGACCTACGTGAGTGACATCATCAAGATAGCAGAATCAGAGATAGAGAATCTTTCCCCAGAGTAAGTAGACAGCTATCCATGAAAAAAAACTACCACAGGCAATGGGAATAAGAGTACCATGAAGACAAACAGTAATACAGAATACCAAATAAGGACAACTGCATAGAAACGATGATAGGAAACTGGGTGAGCAAACACATTTGAAGATACCTAAGGTCAAAAATAAAGGTTAATAATAACTAAGTAACTAACTAACTAACTAAAAAAATAAATAAATAAATACAGCAAGGGTCAGCCCTAGCTGGTTTGCTCAGTGGATAGAGTGTCAGCCTGCGGACTGAAAGGTCCAGGGTTCCATTCCAGTCAAGGGCACATGCCCAGTTTTTTGTGGGTTCAGTCCCCAGTAGGGGGCATGCAGGAGGGAACTGATCAGTGACACTTTCTCATGATTGGTTCTCTCTCTCTCTCTCTCCCCCCACTTCCTCTCAGAAATTAATAAAAATATATTTTTTAAAAAAGGGGCCAGCCCTAGCTGGTTGGGCTCAGTGGATAGAGCATCCACTTGGGGACTAAAGGGTCCCAGGTGCATTCAGGTCAAGGACTCATGACTGGGTTGCGGGCTCGGTCCCAGCTCGGGGGCATGTAGGAGGCAGCCAATTAATGATTCTCTCTCATCACTGATGTTTCTATCTCTCTCTCCCTCTTCCTTGCTGTCTGTAATCAATAAAAATATATTGTAAAGAAAAATAAAAATAAAGGGTCAGCGATACCACTATCAGCCACTGTGCTTCTGTTCTCATTGATCCTAGTGACCTGTTCTCCAAAAACCTGGAAATTTATTTTTTAAAGTTTTTTTTTTTTAATATATTTTTTTATTGATTTTTTACAGAGAGGAAGGGAGAGGCATAGAGAGTTAGAAACATCGATGAGAGAGAAACATCGATCAGCTGCCTCCTGCACATCTCCTACTGGGGGATGTGCCCGCAACCAAGGTACATGCCCTTGACCGGAATCGAACCTGGGACCTTTCAGTCCGCAGGTCGACGCTCTATCCACTGAGCCAAACCGGTTTCGGCCAAAAACCTGGAAATTTTTGTTTCGAAAAACCACACAATGCCCTGGCCAGTGTGACTCAGTTGGTTGGAGCAGCGTCCTGTGTACTGAAGGGTCGAGGGTTCAATTCCCAGTTGGGGCACATATCAGAATGTGTGTTCCATACCCGGTTTTCACATGTGCACATGGCAGCCGATTGATGTTTCTCCCTCATCACTCTCCCCCCATTTCCCTTCCTCTCTATGTAAAAGGAATAATAAATAAAAACATAAGATTTTCAGGGTAACAAAAAAAAAAAAAATCTCAAAAAAGGCTAGAGGCAAGACAATCTACCAAAGCTTATGTATAACATTCAGAAAATGTAGCCCTAACTGGTTTGGTTCAGTGGATAGAGCACTGGCTTGAGGACTCAAGGGTCCCAGGTTCAATTTCGGTCAAGGGCATGTACTGTGGTTGCGCGCACATCTCCAGTAGCGAGTGCGCAGGAGGCAGCTGAATCGATGTTTCTCTATCATTGATGTTTCTCTCTATCCCTCTCTCTCCCTTCCTCTGTGTAAAAAATCGGTAAATATATTTAAAAAAAAGAAAAGAAAATATAATTCTAAGGAGAAATGTTACAGAGATAAATGACTACATTGTCACAAAAAAATCTCAAAGAACCTAACCTGGCACCTCAGGAAACTAGAAACACAACAGGAAAGTAAACCAAAGGTTTCAAAGGAAAGAAACCATAAATATTAAAACAAACATAAATAAAAGAGAGACAAGACAAAAGAAAGGAATACCTAAAAGGTATATTTCAAAAAAAAGATATAAAAATGTGCAAGCTGTTAGCTACACTAAAGCAAAAACACACAAACAAAACCCAAGCTTCAAATAAGTAAAAAAAGAAATTAAAGATAAGACATTACACCTGTCACTATGAACCACAAAGAATCATGAGAGATGTTGATGTTAAGAGACGACATGACCCTCCATAGAGAAATCTGTAAAGATCCCACTATGCAAAGTGCTGTTCGTGCAGGTAGAAAAAAAAAAAAAAAAAAAAAAAAGATCCCACTATGAGCTCCCGAAATTAATGAACAAGTTCAGAATCCTGTCCAGGTGGCTCAGTCATTGAGAGTGTGGCCCTCATGCCCCAAGGTTGTGGGTTCGATCACCCATCAGGGCACATGTAGGGGACAACCAATGAATGCATAGATGGGTAGAACAGCACATCAATGCCTCACTCTCTTTGTTTCTCTCTCTCCCTTTCTGTCTCTAAAATCAATAAATAAATGCTTCCCGGTATGTCTCACTGATTGAGCATTGACTCATAAACTAGGACAGTGATGGCAAACCTATGACACGCGTGTCGGAGTTGACACGTGAACTCAATTTTTTGGTTGATTTTTGTTAAATGGCATTTAAATATATTAAATAAATATCAAAAATATAAGTCTTTGTTTTACTATGGTTGCAAATATCAAAAAACTTCTATATGTGACGCGGCACCAGAGGTAAGTTAGGGTTTTTCAAAATGCTGACACACCAAGCTCAAAAGGTTCGCCATCTCTGAACTAGGAGGTCACAATTCAATTCTTTGTTAGGACAGCTGCACTGGTTGTGAGCTCAATCACCAGTGGGGGGTCATGCAGGAGCCAGCGGATCAATAACTCTCTCTCCTCTTCCTCTAGGAAATAAAAAATACATATATTTAAACAAATAAATAAATAATTTAAAGAATAAATAAATGTCCCTAGCCACGGTGCTTCACTGATGACAGTGCTGCCTTGTGCACTGGAGGGCTAGGGTCTGATTCCCAGTCAAAGGTACATACCTGGGTTGCAGGTCCGTTCGAATCACAGTAGAGGCAACATGTGGGAGGCAGCCAATCGATGTTTCTCTTTCTCTCTGTCTCCTACTCTCTCTCTTAAAAAACAATCAGTGGAAAGAATATCCTCACTATTCGGGTGAAGATAAAAGAAGAATGAAGAATTAAAATCAGAAAAGTTACAGGATTCAAAATAAACATACAACCATTAGTTCAATTTCTACAACCTAATAGTAAATTCTTTGATGGAAAAATGAAGAATGTAATCAAATTTATCAAGGAATAAAAAACAATAAAACCCAAAGGAATAAATTCAACCAAAATGTGAAACATCTGTACAGTGAGTCCTATAAGACAGTGAAGAAAGGAATGGAAGAAAACATAAATAAGCTGAAAGACAACCTGTGTTCACGGATCTGAAAATGAAATATGCTGGAGACAGCTATAGTACACAAGGAAAACTACAGATTAAATGCAATTCCAATAACTCCAGTGGTATTGACAAAGAAATGAATAGAAAATCTGGAAATGGAATCAAAAGACTTCCATCAACAAAAGCAATCTTTTTTAAAAAAGGTATTTTATTGATTTTTTACAGATAGGAAGGGAAAGGGATAGAGAGTTAGAAACATCGATGGGAGAGAAACATCAATCAGCTGCCACCTGCACACTACATATTGGATATGTGCCCGCAACAAACCTACATGCCCTTGACCAGAATCGAACCTGAACCCCTTGAGTCCGCCGGCCGAGGCTCTATCCACTGAGCCAAATGGGCTAGGGCCGTGGTCAGCAAACTGCGGCTCGAGAGCCACACGCGGCTCTTTGGGCCCTTGAGTGTGTCTCTTCCACAAACTACCACGTGCCGGCGCACACATACAGTGCGATTGAAACTTCATTGCCATGTTCTGAAGTCGGTATTCTGTGGAAGAGCCACACTCAAGGGGTCAAACAGTCGCATGTGGCTTGCGAGCCACAGTTTGCCGACCACTGGAGGGCAACAAAAGCAATCTTTTTTTTTTTTTTTTTTAATATATTTTATTGATTTTATACAGAGAGGAAGGGAGAGAGATAGAGAGTTAGAAACATCGATGGGAGAGAAACATCGATCAGCTGCCTCCTGCACATCTCCTACCGGGGATGTGCCCGCAACCCAGGTACATGCCCTTGACCGGAATCGAACCTGGGACCTTTCAGTCCGCAGGCCGACGCTCTATCCACTGAGCCAAACCAGTTTCGGCAACAAAAGCAATCTTGAGCAAGAAGAAAGCTGGTGGTATCACACTTCCTGACTTCAATTTATTACAAAGAGAAAGCAAGCAAACAGTGTGTTGCTGGAGAAACACAGACACATATACCAACAGACCAGAACGGAAAACAGAAAAAAAACTGAGGCACATACTTTTAAGTAATCTTTGACAAAGCTGCAAGCCACAGAAGAAGGGAAAGATAGTTTCTTCAATGAATGGTGCTGGTATAAACGGACATTCCCATGTATAACAACAAAAATGGACAGCACTGATAAAACGTAACTCAACATGCAGGACAGAATTAAATGTGAGCGCTAAAACTTAAAACTCCTCAGGACAACCTAGAAAAAAAGTTTTAGAGGTTTGTTTTAGACAGAATTTTCTGAATGTGACACCAACCAACACACAAAATAGAAAACATAAACAGTCCAGATGGCAACAAATAAAGAAAAAAAGCTTCTTCACTGCATAATAGCAATAAACAAAATGAAATGAAAGGCAATCTAGAGAACAGAAGAAAATACTTGCAAACCATATGAAGGAATCGCTTGGAGATATTGTGGATTCCGCTCTGATCAGCACAATAAAGCGAATATTCTGACATAGACCAAAACTCACACAATTAGTTGGAGTGCCCCAGGAATAATGAAGGTATGTTAACACAATACTGCAGGCTAGTAACACTGCAGTGACTCTGTCACAAAAGCAAAATCTATACAGCCGAAACCAGTTTGGCTCAGTGGATAGAGCAGGGGTGGGCAAACTTTTTGACTCGAGGGCCACAATCGGTTCTTAAACTGGACCAGAGGGCCGGAACAAAAGCATGGATGGAGTGTTTGTGTGAACTAATATAAATTCAAAGTAAACATCGTTACATAAAAGGGTACGGTCTTTTTTTTTTTTTTTACTTTTATTCATTTCAAACGGGCCGGATCCGGCCCACCGGCCGTAGTTTGCCCACAGCTGGGATAGAGCATCGGCCTGAAGACTGAAAGGTCCCAGGTACGATTCTGGTCAAGGGCATGTACCTGGGTTGAGGGCACATCCCCAGTAGGAGATGTGCAGAAGGCAGCTGATCAACGTTTCTCTCTCATCAATGTTTCTAACTCTCTATCTCTCTCCCTTCCTCTCTGTAAAAAAATCAATAAAATATATATTTTTTAAAAAGTCTATACAACTTCACTAACAATATTTAATTGCTAAACACTAGTAACAAGCACCTGAGCTTGCTAGAAACATGGTGGCACTAGACCTGCCTGAATGCAGGGTTGCCAACAACATGGACTTTGTAGAAAAGCTGATGTGGGGGAGTAATATATGCAAAGCACAATTAAGCACATGCAAAAATATGTGTTCCTGTATGTCATAAGCAATTAATATATAAAATATACAAGGTATTCAAAAGACCCTAATAAAAAATACAGTTAATAAACAGGATAAGGTTGTGAAGCCAGTTTTTCAAAAATATATACATAGGACCAATAGAAATATAGAAAATGCTTTCCTCACTAATCAAGAGGGAATCCTTTAAGGTTCCTGCAACACTACCAACCACAAGTCCTTCCCTGTGAATGTAGTGCAGCGGGGAGTATTGGGACTTCAGGAATAGAAGGGAGCAGCGGAACCAGACCAACCCTCCCCAAGACAGCAACTACCCAGAAAACTGGAAAATCAATCAGTACCACAGTCTACATGGGAGGACAGAGCACACCCTGGTAGATGGGCCCTGGGAATTCGCAAAGCCAAGTCCAGCTCAATGGTGAGAGTGAGGGTCTTACCCAGGGAGGATAGAAGTTCAAAGTTCTCCAGCATCACATTCAGGTACAGCTGTCTCTGACCCTCATCAAGGAGGCTCCATTCCTCCCTGGAGAAGTACAGGGCAATGTCCTCAAAGGTCACGCCAACCTGTCAGAATGGAGACAATTCTAACCAGACCTGGCTTTCTGAGAACCTGTAATCCTACTCCTTACACACCTTTCACGTCCTCAACCTCCTCCAGGGCACCCGGTTAGTGTGGACGCCAGGCCCTAATACCAGTGCAGGCTGCTCTCTCATCACAGTCCCATTACTCACTGTGATGGCCCTCAGCAGAGCAGCTGGGTGGGTGGGAAGGTTTGGGGGAAGGTAGGGTAGAGGGCAATGCCATTTAAGGTCTGGGCCCCAGGCTTTCTACCAGGCAACACCACTGCAGGCTCCTAGATCCTGCCTCCAAGACTAAGCCAAGCGTGGGTTTATGCTTCCCTTTAAGTCCCCACACCAGGTCCGGACCATCAGCTCACACTTCCTCCAGATGTGCTCACCACTGGGTAATGTTTATCCCCTTCCCATGTTCATACACCAGGTTCACTCCCTCAGCTCTGCCCCCTTCCCGCTCCAATGCCACAGGATCTCGCTGGACTCACCCATGAACTTGGCATATGGCGTGTAGAGAGCTTGTAGTCCAGCCGGATCCAGGCCCACCCCTGTCCCCTGATGGACCCACAGCCGGGAAAGCCCCGAATGAGGCTGTGCCGTCCTCCCTGCAACCTCTGCTCTTTCCGTCAATACTCACAGCCACATCCTCAGGCACCTTCAGATGCAAGTCACCCCCGTCCTCTCTGCCCTGCACTTGCTGTGTCCTCAGAAGCCACAACACTCCTCTCTCCCCTCCACCTTCCTCACGGTCCCCCACGCGGGACTGAGCTGCAGGACGTAACAATCGCCCACACCCGGGCTTGTCCACTTCAGCGTAAGGAGGCGGTGGGGGCCCCGGGAGACAAGAACTCACCTCAGCGAATCTCCTCAGCGGGGGCGCCGCCATTGCCCTCTGTGGGCTGAGCGGGGCGGGAGTAGAAGCCGCTGCAGGAATGGCGGTCCCTGTCCCGGCCCAGACGTGGGTTCGGGTGGCGACTCCGAGCTTCAATCCCAAGTGTGAGCTGTGAGCACCACTGGAGGCTCCGACCATGGGCTGTGAGACGGGGGGCACCGCTCTCCAGCCTTCTCCCCGGGACTGCGCGACAGGAAAATACTGAGCGACTGAGACAAAAACTTAACACAAAACCAGCAAAGAGGACTACTAGTCCCGCCCTACGGAAGCGGCCAAAGGGAAATACCTTATCTGAGTTCCCATTGGCTCAGACTGGTGGCATTCCATGCGTGGCCTTGTGGGTAATGTAGTTTCTACGCTCCAAAGCCAGGATCCTGTATTTCTGAGTTGACTAAAGGACTGGATTCAGGGGCAAATAGCCCAAAATACACCAAGTATACTAGGGGTCCTCTCGCGCCTTCAGTGGAGGTGACCCCGGGGGCAAGTTTCTTTCTAATGCACCTGTGGCTGGTTTTGAATATTTTTCTTACAAGACCTGCTCTTTCTTTCTTTCTTTCTTTCTTTCTTTTTTTAAATATATTTTATTGATTTTTTTACAGAGAGGAAGGGAGAGGGATAGAGAGGTAGAAACATCGATGAGAGAGAAACATTGATCAGATGCCTCTTGCACACCCCCCACTAGGGATGTGCCCGCAACCAAGGTACATGACCTTGGCCAGAATCAAACCTGGGACCCTTCAGTCCTCAGACCAACGCTCTATCCACTGAGCCAAATGGGTCAGGGCAGGACCTGCTCTTTCTGAATGGCATTCATTGTTCATTCATGACTTTTGGCATGTGTCTCCCTCAGGCCATATGTAGCTGGAGGAGGTTGTTCAAGTCTGTAACTGCCTCAACCTGCCTCCATTGAATCCATTATACAAAGTTTATGTCACAAAACAGACACTCATACTTAAGAGCATCTGCTTCTGATGCCACCGGAAGTGTCAGCTCTGCCTGGGCTGCAGTATGGATAAGATGTCCAAGAGACATGTGAAAAAATGCTCAAAGTGACTGATCATTAGAGAGATGCAAATTAAAGCAACAATTAGGTATCACCTCACCACTGCTAGAATGGCTGTCATCAGCAAATAAACAAAGGATGCCCTGACCAGTTTGGCTCAGTGGCTAGAGCAGGGGTGGGCAAACTTTTTGACTCGAGGGCCACAATGGGTTCTTAAACTGGACCGGAGGGCCGGAACAAAAGCATGGATGGAGTGTTTGTGTGAACTAATATAAATTCAAAGTAAAAATCATTATGTAAAAGGGTACGGTCTTTTTTTTTTTAAGTTTTATTCATTTCAAACGGGCCGGATCCTGCCCACGGGCGTAGTTAGCCCACAGCTGGGATAGAGCATCGGCCTGTGGAGTGAAGAGTCCTAGGTTCGATTCCGGTCAAGGGCATGTACCTTGATTGCGAGCACATCCCAAGTAGGGGGTGTGCAGGAGGCAGCTGATCGATGTTCCTCTCTCATGGATGTTTCTAACTCTATATCGCTCTCCCTTCCTCTCTGTAAAAAATCAATAAAAATATATATTTTTAAAAAATAAGGCACAAGTGCTGGGGAGGATGTGGAAAAAAGGGAACCCATTTCACTGCTGGAATGCAAACTTCTACAGCCATTATGGAAATCAGATTGGAGTTTTTGCAAAAAATTTAGTATGGAACTGGCATTTGAAACGGTGATTCTACCTCTAGGAATATATCCTAAGAAACCTGAAACAATCAGATAGAAAGTATGCACCCCTCTGTTCATAGCAATTTACAATAGGAAAGGTCTGGAAACTGCCTAGGTACCCATCAGTAGAGGAGTGGATAAAAAACTGTGGTATATTTACACCATGGAATACTATGCAGCATTAAAAAAGAAGCACCTCATACCCTTTCACACAGTATGGAGGGACCTGGAGAGCATGAAGCTAAGTGAAATATGTCAGTCAGAGAAAGACAGTATCACTTGATCGCACTCACATTTGGAATCTAATGAACAAAAAACTGATGGAGTGGATTCAGGGACATGGAAGCATGGAAATTACTGCAGAATCTCAGAAGAAAAGTGGGGCTAGGGTAAAAAGAAACATCCTCAGGTAAGGATTAAAAACATGCACACACACAGGAAAACAAATTCACCTGGGCCTTGAGCAATTTCTTCTGTTCTCTGAAAGCAAGGGGAAACCTCTTGCTTGCTGGGTTCTGGGTCTGCTCTACATTTGTGTTTATAAATCTGTCTTCCGTCAGTTGAGTCCCTGGAAATGCTGACACCCCTCCATGTAACCTTGTCTTGCTTCACATGAGTCAATTGCTTTTGGTGTAGTTGTAAGAAATGTCCAAACCTGTTGAGAATTTTTCTTAGTTTATTTGACTCAAGTCAGTGACATTTTCCAGGAAGGAAAATAACAACAGGTTGAGTAATGTTCAGGAGAATGGCAGTTTCGCACCTTTTTATACATTAGAATCAAAGGAGAACACATAAGGGGATTACATGACATTAACTGGTGATAAATTAGAGGGGAGAGCTAAGGAGAGAAATCCCTGGTATTGGGTAAACAATAAAAAATAGACACACACTTATTTTTACATGTTTATCGATTAGTTAACAGTTAATATTTAACCCGAGAGAGCAATAATAATTGGGGCTCTGTGATCTTCTGTGCTGGGAGATTGTGCTCGTAGGAGTCTGTGAAACAGAAATGTCCGTAAAAATCCAAAGGTATGTTATCTCAGATGCAAAAAGACGACAGGTTCAGTAAGGTAAAATTTGTCCTTTCCAAAAACAAACAAAAAAGAGGCTAGTACATACATACCCAGGTGACTAGCTTTTACTTGGAAAGTTTTAACTTCAAAGCATCCTATATGGATTACTTTTAGCCTCTGAGTTTGCAAGATTGACCGTGCCATGCCAGGCTCCCTGAGCTTGCTAGGTTTACTGTGTGCCATCATTTTTGTCCATACTGGGGAGTTAGAAACTGTGGGTTGAGGAGGAAATTCAATGAGTGGTTTATTAACTCTGGGACCCATTGCTGTGTCCTCCTGAACAAATGCCCCAAGTATTGCTGGTGTCCCTTTATTTGGTCTCCTAGAAGAATTCACTCTTCAGGTCAATAAAGCCTTAGGTTCTAAATGTAGTGGAGGTATTTGTAAGGACAAGAAAAAGGTCTGTTTCTTCGCTGTGGCCTTCCACAATTTAGCAGAAGCAGCTGCTAATTAAACCCCAAGTTTGTTGGCTCCTCTAATTGAAACAGCTCCTCTGGTCAAACTGCTGAACAAGATAAGCTACTCTCAATGCTTCAGTCTTACATGCCCCTCCTTCCTGCTGCTGTCACACCTCTGGGATATTTTGGACCAAGGGGTCTCTAGTTAGTAGAAAGTTTCCTTCTCTCTGTCCTCTGCCCCTTCAAACAAGCCTCTTTTGACCTCTTCGTAGCTGTTGCTCTCGTCATATTTTATAGGCTTGGGGAAAATACTGATAAGACACTTACATAGCGCATCTGGAATACTGTCTCCTGGAAAGTAAACAAACTGTAACTTTTAAAGACAGCCCCTCATAGCTACTCAACTTCAGCTCAGCCCAAGGCCCTCCATTCTTTGTCCCTTAGCAACAGCCACTGCTGAGCTCTAACTGGTTTCACTCAGTGGATAGAGCATCAGCCTGTGGACTCAAGGATCCCAGGTTCAATTCCGGTCAAGGGCATGTACCTTGGTTGCCAGTACATCCCCAGTAGGGAGTGTGCAGGAGGAGGCAGATTGATGTTTCTCTCTGATCGATGTTTCTTTTTTTTTTTTTTTTTTTAAATATATTTTATTGATTTTTCACAGAGAGGAAGGGAGAGAGATAGAAAGTTAGAAACATCGATGAGAGAGAAACATCGATCAGCTGCCTCCTGCACATCTCCCACTGGGGATGTGCCCGCAACCCAGGTACATGCCCCTGACCGGAATCGAACCTGGGACCCCTCAGTCCGCAGGCCGACGCTCTATCCACTGAGCCAAACCGGTTTCGGCGATGATCGATGTTTCTAACTCTCTATCCCTTTCCCTTCCTCTCTGTAAAAAATCAATAAAATATATTTTAAAAAAAAAACCAAAAAAACCCAGCCACTGCTGAAGAGCAGAAGCCACACTTCCTTCCTTGCCCTGTAGTGACTAGCAATACTTGGCCCGTCCCTTGGAAAGTAAAATTAACTTTCCCTCTGCATGACTTCTTGTAGGTGTGAAATCTTTCGCAGCCAGCATCACAGCCCAAACCCTAAGGGTATTCCTTTCTTCTAAATAGTTAAGAGGAGTGACTATGAAAGATGAGGGCAATGAGAGTGTCAAGGCAAAATGATATTTCCTTCTTCTTTTCTAGGATCTTTAGTTGGCCTGAAAATTAAACTGATAAAATACAGGTTGAAAAACCATAAAAAATTTACTAACATGTATACCTGCTGTATATATGGAAATGACTCAGAAAAACAGTAACTGGCCAAAATGGCAAACACCATCATCTGAAAAGCCACCTTCACTTATAGTCAGAAAATGTTGTGTGTGGAGAGTCAGTTAGGGTGGATTGTCAGGAAAAGCACATTAAAGACCTCAGTTGTGGCCCAGTGTGCTGTGCACTGCGGTGAGGGCTTGTACTCAAAAGGACTCTGTTCCAAACCAAAGACCCAGGGTGCAGACACAGGAGACTGGAAAGAAGGACATGAGACCAGAACATGATCCGGGCTGCAGGGAAAACATGGTGAGAGCCATTGTCTCATTCAGCCAGTAGGGATATACAGGAGAGTATCACCTGGCAAGGGGTCCTATCATGAATAGGACGTGAGCACCCGTCCAATGAGCCCAGGATCATGTAGGACTCCAGCATCACTTCCAACATTAGGTCCCCAAATTCCTGTCCAATTGTATCCACTCCTGCAGGGTGAATGTCACTGCCACATAGGAACATCATTTGAAGGGTCAAACTGAGGCAAGAAATTCATCACAGTGGATGGGATCACAGCATGACACCCAACACCCAACACCTGGGAAAGGTGAAGAGACAAAGCACTAATTACCGAGGTCTCCTGAGGGTCAAACCAAGTGCTGGAATGAAAGGGAAGGTAGACAAATAGCAGCTCACTCTGAAAGAAGGTTCCCCTGGAGAAACCACTGCACTGAGAAATGATGGCGTTCCCCTGAACACGGGGAGGCCAAGGGGAAGTGCTCTGAGATGTACAGGGGATGGGAGGAAACGCATAACTGCAACCATGGAAACAGGAGCTGCAGGTGATCCACCCTGGTCCTCATACTGTACCTGCTCCAGTGAGAGCTGCACATCAGTGGTAGAGACAGCGTCTGACACTGGAGAAAATAATGGTTAAAATCCAGCCCCTTGATGCCCTGACCAGTTTGGCTCAGTGGCTAGAGCAGGGGTGGGCAAACTTTTTGACTCGAGGGCCACAATGGGTTCTTAAACTGAATCGGAGGGCCGGAACAAAAGCATGGACCGAGTGTTTGTGTGAACTAATATAAATTCAAAGTAAACATCATTACATAAAACGGTACGTTCTTTTTTTTTTTTTTTAGTTTTATTCATTTTAAATAGGCCAAATCTGGCCTGCGGGCCGTAGTTTGCCCACGGCTGGGCTAGAGCATCGGCCTGTGGACTAAAGAGTCCCAGGTTTGATTCGGTCAAGGGCATGTACCTTGGTTGCGGGCATATCCCCAGTGGGGGGTGTGCAGGGGGTGGCTGATGGATGTGTTTCTCTCATGGATGTTTCTAACTCTTTATCCCTCTCCCTTCCTCTGTGTAAAAAATCAATATATTTTATTATTTTTTATTTTTTCTTAATTTTTATTTTTCTTTTAATATATTTTAAAGAAAATCCAGCCCCTTGAATCTCACACTTGTCTGGGGTGTAAACTTGGGGAGCTTACTTCATTTCTCAGATACTGAATGTTTTCAGCAATTTGATAGGAGTTTCCACTTGTCCAGGTTGTTGTGAGAATTAAGAGAAAATGCTCAAATATCTATCCATGGAATCCTGGCAACAAGTACTCAGCTTGTTACCTTTATTGATCTGGGAAGGCCAGAGTAAGCGCCATCAATCATCTGCATGTCACATTCAGCCACTGAGATTCAGGGAGTTGTAGTGAGTCTGCTGGAGATGCCCAGGTGGGGCGCACCACAATGAGACCTGAGTGCCCACAGCACCCGCCTCCCTGCAGCAGAGTCAGCGGCTACTTATAGGTCCCATTTCTCACTAAAATGCACCCAAAGACAAAGGTGCTTGTTGGTTTCAGGGCATGAGAAGTGCCTGTCCTGGGACTGTCTCTGCAGGAAGAGGCAGGAGTTCAAAGGAAATGGGGAGAGAGAGAGAGAAAAAAATCAATGCTGAGAGAGAATCACTGATCAACTGCCTCCTGCATGCCCCACACTGCGGATCTAGCTGAGGCACAGGCATCCTCCCTGACTGTGAATGGAACCGACTTGACCTCCTGGTTCCTAGGTCCACGTGGAACCACTGAGCCATGCCAGCTGTGCTCTCAGAGTTGATGTTCCTAACTCTTGTTCCCTCTCCCTTGCTCTATGAAATCAATGAAAATGTTTTTAAAAATCAATTAAAATATTTATTATAAAGGAAAAAATATTAACACATATTATTCTAATACAAAAAAAGCATTTAAGGTGTGACGCCGTAGACCAGGCAGCTTCACGGCGTTAGGAGGCGTCCATTGCCATGACGGCCCAGGGCAGCCTCGTGGCTAACCGAGGCCGGCGCTTCAAGTGGGCCATTGAGCTGAGCGGGCCTGGAGGAGGCAGAGGGGCGAAGTGACCGGGGCGGTGGCCAGGGCGACTCGCTGTACCCCGTTGGTTACTTGGACAAGCAAGTGCCGGATACCAGCGTGCAAGAGACGGGCCAGATCCTGGTGGAGAAGGTACAGAGGCAATACTATCTCCATCTTTCCTACTATGATGGTGTGTATGATGGCTTGGCGACCCATTCAGGCACTTATGGCCATTTCAGCCACTTTCAAGATGCTAGAAAGTTCAATATATATATATATTTTATTAATTTTTCACAGAGAGGAAGGGAGAGAGATAGAGAGTTAGAAACATCGATGAGAGAGAAACATCGATCAGCCGCCTCCTGCACACTCCCCGCTGGGGATGTGCCCGCAACCCAGGTACATGCCCTTGACCGGAATCGAACCTGGGACCTTTCAGTCCGCAGGCCGACGCTCCATCCACTGAGCCAAACCGG